TGCCCTAAGATGCTGCACCACCTTCTCTTTCCATTTTTATGTGAAATTTTTTTCAGAGACAAAAGAACAGGTCCGTTTTTCTAAATACTCTCACTTAATCTTTTGCTGGAAAACAAACTAAGAAATGCCAAATAGTAAGAAAGGTGATTCTCTTTATATGAAAACGCAGCTTGATCTAATAACATAAGAGTCTGACCAAAAAAATTCTCACATAATCAAAGAAGGGGAAAAAAAACACCTTTTGGGGTTTTTGTTGTTATTTAGAAGGATTATCTGAACCCCCAGTATTTACCATAAAAAATTTTGAAGACAGAGAAAGAAAATGTTTCTTCAGTTAGAGGTATCACATTCCAAGTAAGCATTAGGTTCCGAAATTAAGAACACTACTTATTGGTTAAGCATTCCTAGACTGAAGCTTTAAACTGGCAATCTAAAGTTGCTACAGAAGAAAACTGGACATGGATTTTATTTCTTCCCCATACCTAACTATGTAAGTGTTAAACAGACAAAATTACACAAAACCCACATCATACGTAAGAAGAAAATCATCTTTGAAGGGGGAATATAAATAAATAAATCAAACACACACACTCCCCCAGAAATTGTCAGAACACTTAATGGCAGTTGCATATTTCCACTTCTCAACAGCATCTAGATGGAATTATTCCAGAAAGCTAAGCTATTTTCTACTACTACTGGCATACTTGGGTAAACATTATCCACACAAGTGTAACAACCAGCATTACTTAATAAACAAAGCACATACCACTCTGGCTGCTCTTTCCTGAGATTCACACTTCCTGCAAAACCAAGGTCCAGTGGGTACTTGAACAATTCCATAGCAAGCTGTTTTGAACAAGACAAAATATTTCAGCAAACCAGCAGCACCACAGTACTATTCATATGAACATTAAAGAACAAGCTTAGTATTAATTGATCTCATGTCATTTCAATAAGTCAAAACAATATCTCTACAATGTACATTAAATCCTGTCACAAGAAATGAAGTACAAGTTTCCACTTGAAAATGTATGCAAAGGAAAGTCAATGAAATCTTTTCCTATTATATACATGCATTAGTCATAATGACTAAACAGATCAGTTGTCAAATTTTCAAATATATTATCCAAGTACTGACAGACCAAACTATCTTGATAAGCCCCTTCTACCATACAATAAAATTCTTTAACATGAGGAAAAACATCATTTTTGTTGCACCTATATTAACCACAGATGAGAAAGACTTTGATTTCCTTTTTAGAAAGTAAGAGGGAGGTTGTAAATGTGCAATCACGCATTTACATTAGCAAGAGACAGTGCAGGGTAAGAAGCTAATTACAGAATGAAACTTAGAGACAGGGCTGGCAATTACATCCAAAGGCAATGTGAGTTGGGCAAAGACCAAAGCTGAGGCGAAGTACTTCTGTATCTGCAAACGTGACAGAGTACATCTACAGCCTAGAACAGTCCACCACAGGTTTGTGCTCTGATACTGTTTATTGAGCTCCAGGACTTCCTTTGGTGTATACTTCCACTATCATGCAAAGCTTACTCAAACACATGAGATTTTGTCCTCCACAACTTGCCTGTGACTTAACACTTGAAGTTTCCTTTGAAGGAAAAATAATAATACCCCAAAAATGCAATTAATAAGGTTTCTCAGTTAATACTGCTGTCTGAACTTCAAATAAGGACTACCAGCTTTAACCATGAGGACTAGCACTTTTATGACAGAAAGACTACAAAAACAGTGGACATACTTCCTCTACCACCTTCGTTCACATGACATATAAACTCCAAAACTTAAAACATCAATGATGCAGTAAATCAAAACAGCTCTTCTTTCTTAAGACCTCTACAACATCTGTATTTAGAAGCAACAGTACTCTGCATGCTTTCTGCCAGATTCAAATTCAGATTTGCACCTCACCTTCAAAAAAAGGCTCAGTATTCTAATTTACTGAAGCGTGTCTCTATATATTAGGAATACTTCCCCAAACAGACTTTTGTCATTCATGCTATTTCAGCTCCAAAACTGCTGCTGTCATCAACTTTTTCCACTGATGATATTAACCAGACTCTAGAACAAGGGAAGATGCTCAAGATAATGCAAAAGTAATAGCTGGTTCAGGTATGACTTCTAGAAGTAATCATGTTTTAGCATTCTTTCCCATGATTCTAAGACTCCACACAGCAGAATTAACTTACTGGTTAACATTACTCAGCTCTTAAGAAAACAGAAAACTGATTCAAAACCAGACTAATTTCACAGATACTGTCAGCTCCCCTCTGCGTTCAATCTAACATTAACAAGAATAATTGAACTCTTTTGCCAATCTCCTTAAATTATTACTATTTATCACTAATTCTTGACAGCTTAGAAAGGAGCATAAACCTGAAACAGTTACTGTACCATCTTCAACACAATTCAGGACCAAGCATAAGACACACATTAGTATTTTCACATGCACCAGGCATGTTAGTATTTTCACATGCACTCATACTAATGAACCAGATTTAGGATTTTGTCTCCTCCAATTTGTTCACCATTTAGAAGGAGTCAGAGAGCCAGCCACAGAGCTTGTATGCCTGCTTGGGCATTGATACAGAGGAACTACCATCTTATTCCTTATTTCTACTACCATAACACAAAAAGACATCATAACTTTCTTTCTTACAATGTAACCAGCAGAATCCAGTTTCTTCCTCTGCTCTCACAAGAGGGGTCAACCCACTGACAGAAACAAAACAACCACACATAGAGGGAACGTGCCAGCTCCTGAGCTGAACTGGAAACCAACCAACCAGCCTCCACTAATCCAAACAAATCCAGCATCAGCCCTTCTGACTAGCACCCTCCCCCTACAGAGCCACAACAGGAAGTCTCCATCTACCAGGAAGCATCAGCCAAACGACATTCGAGGAAAGGCAGGCAGAGGAAGAAATCACATGACAGCTAAGTCTCTCCTACACACTGCTCTCTTCCAATCCTAAACCCTCCTCGTCTACTGGCTGCCCCTTAAATTTATTATTCTAACTTGGGAAAGGCAGGGACAAGAGGGATCAAGCATACAAAGAAAGAAATACAACAACAGTTGTCAGAATAGAGATTAGTAAGAAGTTCTGCAACAGAAGGGAAGGAATTTTAGGTAGTCTCTGGACTGATGCAGCTGAGGTTGCTAACAGTGCAAAGGCAGGCTAGGAAACACAGGCACAGAAAAGGCACAAGGGGAAGAGGAAAGGGGAAAAAATGGAAAAGGAACTCTTCTTTTCTTACAGCTATAATACAGGAAGTCATAATACAGGAAGTCTCAGATGAGAGAAAAAAAACAGGCTGGAAGAATAGAGGATGACAGGACAAGTCAGACCAGAAAGCACGTGGTCCTAGAGACAGGCGAACACGCTTCAAGAAGTAGCGGGGGGGGGGGGGGAGGATGGGGGAGACGTGGTGAGAAAAGGAGAAAAACGGCCAAGGTTGAGCGACTGGGGGGTGGGAGCAGGCCCAAGGGAAGAGGGCAGGGACCATCAAGAAGTAGCGAGGCTTGAGGCCAGCGCGGGCAAGCTGGCGCTCGCTTATCCACTCACCTTGATGCACTGCGACATTGCAGCCGTGCCCGTCGCAGTAGACAAGCGGGTTCTCGGCCCAGCCCCTCTCGTCGGAGCACACGCAGCAGCCGCCGATCATCTCCTTCATGCTATTGGAGAACTCGCCCTCCAGTGACACAGGCAGCAGCAACGGCTCGCTAGAGACCATCTAAGGGTTAAAAACACCGTCGTCAACACCACACACTCACACGCTGTACCCTCTGCCTGCCCCCTCCCCCGGCAGTGTCTCCCCTCAGTCACTCAGCCGCCGCCGCCGCCACCGCCGCCACGGCAATGATTTAGGGCCCATGACCGCTGCCTGAGAGCCTCTTCTCTCCGCGGCCCGACCAAGAGGCCAGGCTGTGTCAGTCAGTCACGGCGGCAGGCAGGCAGGCAGGGGCAGCCCGGCGACAGCACACTGAGGAGGACACGGCGCGGCAGGCAGGCAGGCAGGCAGGCAGGCAGGAGAGCAAGTCCAGTGCGCAGGCGCACTGCGCGCCCCCCGCCGGGAAGGCCTCGGCCTAGGGCCCTCCTCGCGATGGTTCACGAGCCGCCCATGGAACGTGAGCCGCGGCTGAGCGCGCGCTCTACCTCTCCCCCCAACACCTCCCTTCCCCCCACACCCCGGCTCCAACCGTCGCGCCGAGAGAGCGTGCGCGAGCCAGCGGCAAGGCAAGGCAAGGCAAGGCGCCCCGCCAGGCCCACCCGCCCCTCGCCTTGCCTCCGCGCCGCCCGCCACAGGCACCTGAGGGCCCGGCCCAGCCCGGGCCGCGCAGCGCCACCGCCACCCGCCCGGACACCCACCTCGCCGTGCTGCCACTCTCCGTCCCCCGGGCGAGCCATCGCGTGTTTCCACCCACCCCCCAGCCCCGCCCGGCCTAACCCTAACAACGCGGGCAGCGCTGCGCCGCGGGACAGCCCCTGCGAAACCGCTTCCCCTCCCAGCCCGGGCGAGCGTTAGCTGGGGTTATTGCTGCCCCCCCTCCCCTCAGTGTGTGTAGGGGGGGCGGGGAGGTGGCAGACATGCGCCCCGCTCCCACCCGCGATGTCACCGTGCTCATGCCCCCTTCAGGAAGGCGGCAGGACTCGCCCCGTTCCCGCCCACCCCGCAGAAATCATTTTTACTATCTTGTTTATTTTCCCCCTGATGTGCCTGCAGGACTAATGCATTCCCGCTCCCAACTTTTATTATCCTGTTTATGTCCCCTCGGTGTGCCTGCAGCACTAATGCATTCTCGCTATTATGCCACTTCCCTGCCCTCACCGCAACTTTTACTATTTTGTTTATTTTCCCTTCGATGGAGCTGCAAAACTAATGCATTATTAATCCCTCTCTTTCTCCTCTCCCCCCAAAACTCCTCGTGCGGATGCAGCGCTGCGTGGCTGTTGCTGCCACACCAGCAAAAGCGGTAGAGATAAGGCGAACAGAAAAACCAGGGCGGCCACAGACACACAAACCTAAGTGTGCTCTTCAGCACAGCTGTCCTCTGCTTTTACTTGGAGGTGGATATGTCTTTCTAGCACTTGGACATTGCGGAGGGCGGGTAGTAAAACAATCCTGTTGTCTCTTTTAATTGGGAGGGGGGAGGCATAATATTAAAACCTGGGGGGAGAGAGAGCTGAGATGGTCAGCAGAGAAGAAAATCTCAGGCTATTCAATTCTCCATTGTAAGCAGGTACGCCTGTAGCAGAAGGAACTAATTGTGGTGATTGTTAGGAGCACAGAGAAATTAAATACAGCCTTACAAAATTCTGCTCTCTCACTTGCCCCAGGGCCCAGCGCTTATTTATTTATTTATTTATTTATTTGGGGCTAGGAAGCTATCATTGATTTATCTTTGTTATCACGCTAAGAAGCAGAGAAGCAGAATTTGTGCATGTACTGTATTTCTCAGAATGATTTTGCAAGGCCAGCTCAGTTGATATGGTGATATCCATACAAATCACTACTGAATTATGTACATTCCTGGACACGTCACTACCCAGACCGATACATATGCAGGTTATATTTTATACATTGTTAACTAATAAAACATCTGCACTTGCGTAGGGGAGTATGACAAACTGCATGGAAGAGAGAGGTGGGATGTTCACAACTACCTACCCCCTACGGACATCCAAGCCTGCAGTTTGTATGCAGGATATCTTAGGTTAAGCTCTTTTCTCTGCTTTCAAGTTTGAAGTGAAATTACTTTGAGGAAAAATGGCGGGCAGGCAAAAACTGAATGAAGGTAGCTTCCTAGTTGGGGGGCCCAGCCAAATATGCAATTAACACAGCCATCTGAGACACATTCTAATCATTTCTCTGTAAACATATGCTCCAACATCCTTGAGACTTCAGAAATTTTTAAGGCACGTGTAAAAAATGGAGGCAGGGGGACTGGAATGTAGTAGTATGTTTCAGCTTTTGTATAATCGGTCAAGAGCCTGCACTCCAAAAAAACCCCACTCCACACCCTAATGTCCTATCTCAACACTGAAGAACACAAATTTGACCATGAAAGTATTTACATTATAAAATATACTTACAACACTCTTTTTATTACTTCTAAAGCTTGTAAAAATACCCTGAAGATTGCAGGTGCAAGCAATTATTTTGTAAGGAAATAAAGCAATTAATATATCCTGGTGGTTTAAAAAAACACAAATTATTTGAAGCTGATAGATACAGTGTCCCAACCCTTCTTCATTCTTGTCAAGAAAATGACATCTAATTTAAAAAGCATTCTCAATGATTCTGTTAACCCTGACTAAAAAGAAAAAAAGAAAAATAATCACACTACAGCAGCAAATCTGTCCTTTATTTCCCTAACAGGTAAATTAAAATAAATACCCTTTTAAAATGCAAATATATCAAATATATTTTAATTTGTTGGATGATTTTATACATTTAGTAAAACTTGTATTGAAACAACTGTAAATTTTTCGCACAGCTTTTTTTTTTTTTTTATTCATTGAGAAGGTCTTCCTGCAATTTCTTCTTTGAAAAGCAACTAGTACAATTCCCGTGTCTGTCTTGGTGAGTTGAAGGTTTTTTAATGTTAGCTGTTTTAAGGTTCAATTTTTAGTTCGATAAAGAAGCACAAAGAAAAAATTAATCACTTTGCAACAACTTGATTAAAGCTGCACCATGACAACAAGAGTATATTAGTGAAAAACCTAGTGTATAGTTTTCAAATAAAATATTTTAATCCCACACCATGTATCACACCAGCTTCGTATTGCACAGCCTGAAATTTTGCTTTGGTGAAAATTCAGTCAAGCCTAATACATTCAATTATTTAATGAAACATTTGTTGTCTTTTTATGGATTTCTGCTTAATTCTTTCTATAGAAAGAATGTACATGGACTGAAAGAAACTCCATGACTACCACCTTATGGTATTGTGTAATATTTGATGGAAAAATTTAGATAACCTCTTGATAGTTCTGTAAAACAATCATTTAGAGAAGACCTTTGAAATGCAAAATAGGAAAAGAAATGCATTACCACTAAATAAATACTGCAAACACTAAGCCTATAATGGCTATGGAATCAGAACATAAAATCTTGTAGCATATATGTTCTTATGATTGTAGTATTTAATAAGCACTGACATGACACAGAAGGCCAATTTTCTTTTTTTAGAAAAGAAGCTTGTCCTTTTATAGTGATATATAAGAGATTAAAACAATTAGAGAGGAATATAATTCAGTGAGTATGAATGAATAATTTCATTCTTAATCTAAATGCAAGGAGAAAATTCAATTCTCTTTAAAGGAACCTACAAGACCTAGAAGCTAAACAAGTTATATTGTAAGCAGCATACAAGAAGATTATATGTTTTCATATTTTTGTGGATACCCTTTTCAAATAGAGTGACTGTGTAACTGAAAAAAAATTACACTCTCCAAATGCAAATTGTTTTTAAAAGTTTAAGAAATTACTCAAGATAACATTAACATATATTGGTGCAGAGCACTTTAGCTTCATCAACAAAAATAACAAGGTTTTCACCTTAAATTTTTAGTGCAAATTAATCAGTTCCAATAATAATGCTAAGATTTTGGAAAGCTTGCTTTAAATTTCACTTTTTTTTTTTCCCTAAAAAATGCTAAATCATACTGTAACTTCAGTGAATAAAACAAAACATTGAACAAGAAAAAGTCTTTCATTTACAAAACTGCATTACCAGTTGCATATAATCATCAGAAGAGTCTTCCAGGAATAACAGAAAAAGCATGGACTTCATATAAAATGCACACTGTATCAGAAAACATGGACTGATACTGGGACTTGAATCTGTAGAGTGAGGAGACTCACTTCTTTCCAGAAAGCAAATTTCTGATAGCAATTTTTACTCCATTTTCAGATAGGGTCTTTGTGGAAAAAGCTTTGATCTTTACCTATGTGGAAATGGATACACACTGCAGCTAAACAGAAGCCACTGAAAACAGGAAAATGCCAATAACTTCATGATACTCAATAGGTAGAATAATGCATCTCCTGATTATCCATTTAAAATACATTGATGCTTCTCTGCCTTTTGTTTATGTGGGTTTAAATCATTAACAATCTACACTGAAATGCATTTCTAATCATGAGTATTTGCTTCATTTCTGGGAAGGCAGCAGCAAAATAGTCACTTTACACAAAATAAAATGCAACTCTTGTGTGCTGACCTTTGCACACACTGCGTTTTAAACGGCAGGCTGTCTTAGATCCAACAAATTATTTCTATCCATGTTCAATTATGAAGGATATAGCATGCCTACAGAACCCATATTAAAACATGTTAATGTATCTTTACATGCTTACTCCTATGTTACACTGAGAAAGAATAAAGTTCTTTTTCCTCCTATTCCGTAATTCACTGCTCAAATCTGCACTTAACACCCATACAAACACCATGTACTGAAGAACTAAAAAGCTTCAAAATTTAGCATGTAGTCACTTCTTGATCAGGAGTTTGCATGCTGTGTATTTACATGTTATGCAAGTACAGGTAGCATCATCACACGTCATAGCAGCGCATCTCCTGGACACCATGCTTCTTTAGATGCTGCACCATTTTCTTTTGTGCAAACATAATTACAAATTTTGCAGTTCTTTAGACTGCAAAGAAAGGGGGAAATAACTCCACCAACTACTGTATTCATTTTATTGCTTTTAATTGTATTATCACCTTTGGAAACTTTGGTAAATTCCACTTAACTAGCAGCAATGGACAAAATTGGTGGTTTTCAAGTACTGCTTCTGTTACTAATGTTGGCATTTAAATGTTAATTTCAGACTGAGGTTTACGATAAACATGAAACAAGGGATTTTCTTTGAATGAATAATCTCAAACCAAAATTCTAAATAAAGGAATCCTAGCACTGGATGTTTTTAAGCACAGTGATTATTTCCTTTTAAAGATTTAACATTCCCTAAATGGTAGAAGTTAAAGATTTAAATGTGACAGCTAATTTATAATTCTCTACATTAAAAAGGCATTTAAATGTTAACCACATTTTTATGAGTCAAGTCAAAGTAATGATAATTACAGTATGATACAAAAGAACCTGAAATAAACTTCTAGTAAACCATATTGAGTATTAATGCTTATTAAGTCCTGAAAAGCTGGGTTAGTAAACTCTGGAATTTAGATTATATGCAACTTAAATGTAACACAGGGCTTTTCTCCAGAGAAAAACACTTTGTTTCAAAGTTTGAATTTTTATGAGAAATGTATTAATTCATTGGATTTTTATTAAATACATTTACATAGCTCCACTCCAAAACCAAGCCTCAGATTACTTTTCTTCTGTAGACGTATCTCTATGTAGGATTTGCTAAATTAACATTCCATATAAATTAATAGCCTTTTTTCATGTTTGTTGTGTTACGATAAGCAGAGTGATGCTGCATTGTATCACAGGTCACATTTATTCAATTTTGATTTACGAATGGGATCTGTACTGCTTATTAAATACAAGAAATGACATGCTGAATTTCCCATCAAATATCTTAAATACAGACTTACTTTAGGTAGATTTGTATAAACAAAACACATATACATAATACAGGCGTGGGAAAGGAAAAGCTGTTTTGTTAGATGCTAAAGCAAATTGGAGTAAATCAACCGCATCCGTGGGCTGTATAAGCAATATTACTCTGCTTTTCCCAGTACCATTTGGACTAAACAATGTTACTTTTTTATTTAAAGTGTTTTCTTCTCAACAAGGGGCCACCACTTCCCAATCTCAGAAACACGCCCCAGAATATGTTAATTAATTGTATTGTGTCTCTGAAAGAAAGAGGTTGCCAAATGCAATAAAAAAAAAAAAAGTCTTTCGATCAGTGAGCTGCGTTCCCACTGCCAGCGACCATCTAATTTCAGTTCCACATATATATATTTATATACACAAAGATACATTTCCTCTAGGTACGACTTTGACCATTTAAAACTGACTACGAGCGAAAGTCTAAATTGACCACATAGGGTGTATCTGGGAAGCTTAACATTCCTGTCGAATTAAGCACGCAAGCCTCAGATCACTTTTTGTCAATCTTACTCTGGTACTTCAGAGTCGGGAATGTGGGTAATTTTTATATCGTGGTACTTCCCAATTAAAAGCAACAACAGTGCTCCTTTGTGAAAAAAAAAAACAAAAAACTTAATATATGAAATACATCAACACATTGCACACAGATACAAAATAAAGAGCAATGAAGAATGGCAACACACGGTCTCTATTTTTTTTTTAGTATCTTCCCTTTCAATAAGATAGTTTTCAAATAGCGATATATTGTTTTAGTAAATACAACAGTATTAAATGTCCTTCTGAATGACGCTTTCCTAAATTTGTAAATTGCCAAGCAGCAATCAAGAGAAAATGCATCTCTGGAATACTCAAATAGGAGAAGTAAAACAAAACCAAGCAACAGCAACAAAAAAAAAAAAAATCTTTTTTTCCTCGATCTTAAAGTTAATGCCTTCAGGTACTACCAGGGTGGTGTTTTCCTATTAAATATTACTGGCATCTCCAGCTTTCGAACAACACGGATGCTTTTTACCATCTAAACTGAATTGAGCTTTTATTTGGAGGAGTCCCACAAAAGCCTGCAAGTTTACAAAGAGTGAAAGAGAAGTCCCAAACTGTATTATCTGAAACAATGACTGCGAGTATGCAACTTCCCAAGTGTGCGTGGGGGGAGGAAAGTCACTTCAGAATTATTTTCAACTAGGTGATATCCGTAAACATCATCCTTCAACTTTTTACTTGCTGCTCATGATCTATGCAAAACGTTAATTTCTTGGCGATAATTTTAATTAAAAAAAAAAGTAAAAATAGGTATCATTTCTGATTTTTTACAATAAATTCTCATGCACTAGAAGATAACTTGCTAAAAATAATCACAGTTCCCCTAGAAAAGATTTTCTTAATTAGTTCTCTAGAACTAATTCTTCCCTCATCACAAATACGAGCCCCTTCCCGTTTTAATGTAATCTTCCAGAAACAACGTGCAAAGACTTTTTTTTTTCCCCTAGAAGATCAAGGGCACTTGTTGGAAATTTTCTTGACCATCAAGTTACTCAATTCATCCTCTATGAAAATACATGAGAAAAGCTCAGGTCTGAAATGGCGTACCAAAACAATTCTAATTATTTTCGGGAGGAAGAGGGGGAGACAACAAACACTTCCAATAAAATAAATCCTTACAAATCTCAAACAAACATCAAACACTTGGGGGGGGGGAAGTCCATATACGGTGCTTACATGAAAAACAGGATAAAATTAATGCTCATTTTTATAAACAGACCATTAAGACGAGTTCCTTCCAAAATTCTCTTTGGCTACATTTATTATTCCAAATTCAGCGGTTCGGAGCAGTTTCTCCCGATTTAAGAAGCCCTGTTCTAAAAATCCACCCACAAACAGATGTTACTTTATGTACAAATCCACTGCGGTAGTGGGGTTTCGAGGTTTTTTACCTTTCAAGTAACACGTGAGCTACCGCCTCACTGGAGCTCTCTCAGTGGATGGCACTTCTAAAGACTCCTCTCTTATTTTACCCGTTCTCCTCCTGGAGCCCCCCGAGCCGCTGCTGCTACGGGTGAGCGCACCAGCCCAAAGGGGCCCAGCGGCGGCGGGGTCTCTTCCCTCCTTCCCTCGCTGCGGCCGAGCAAGCCCCGCCGGCGGAAAGCGGCGCGAAAAGAAGCGCCGGGGAACAATGGGGAGCGCATGGAGGAGCGGGAGCCCCGGCCGCGCTTCCCCCGTCCCCACCGCCCAGCCCTGCTCCGCTCTCGCCGCCTCCTACGGCCAAGCCGCGGGAGGGGGCGGTGAGCGCCGACCCCGCTCGCTGCCGGGCCGATGCGGCTCCTCCGTGTTACCTAGGCTCTGTTGCCCGGAGCCCGCTCCGCTGACGGGAGACCCTCGCTCACCCTTGAAATCCCCTGGGCAAGCTTGCCAGGTCAGCGCCGCGCTGCCGAGGGCACCCACAGGTTTACGCTCGCAGCCGCTCAGCCCCCAAACTCTCCCGCCACACGGCAAGCAGCAGTGCTGCAGGGCGAGAGGGGCTGCCCGGCTGGCCCACTGCCAGCCCCGGCTTCCGAGCCTATCCCGGGGTCGCCGGTGCGGGCAGGCCGGCCTATGGGAGCCCTCAGCCCTCCGCCAGCTGCCCCCGACCTCCCGACAGCAGCCCGCACCCGGCGGTCCCTCGCATGCCGTGAGCACTACCCGCAGGAGAGCAGGCAGCACTACAGAGGCGCCCCGGGCCGCGCTGCAGTGCGCGCTCCTTCCCTTCAGGGGACGGTGCTGCACACAAAAGGCGGCTCAGCATTGTTCTCCTCCCTGACCCCCAAATCCCCTTTTCCCCGCCGCGGAAGCCGCCAGGAGCGGGCAGTGGGAAGGGCCCGGAGAGAGAAGGGCGAGGACGGGGAGAGGCCGACTGGCCGGCACGCCTCAAGGCCCCCCGCCATCTTTGCGCTTCCTATGCTCGCCTCGTGGCGGGCCCACAGCCTGCCGTCGAAGCCCTCCGGTCCTGCGCCCTCACCCTCTTCTGCCGTAGCTCCGTCGGGGTCCCGGCCCTGTCCAGCCCTGCCCGGGCACCAGGCTCCCACTGCCTCCTCTCACACAGCCCCGACTCGCTGACAGAGCAAAGTCCTTCACGTAAACGGGTCCTTCCTGTGTTGCTTCACGCAAAACACCCACTGGAGTGCCTCACTGCATCCCCAGAGCCTCCTCGTTGGGTTTCCACACGGGATCACCCGCTTCACACACCCACGGGGGTAAAAACCCCAAAGCAGGATCAAGGTGAGGTACTGCTTGAGGATTTCATGCTCAAATTGATGCAAAGCATACTGTGCTTTAATCCTGATGGGCCTGGCTAGAGACCAATGTCTGAACTACAGTGCTGCCTACTCCACAGCCTGCAATCCGACGTCCGGCAAACAGCACGTTCCCTGCCGCCACGTTAAAAACACCATATAGCGGTAAAACTCGGTACCGAGATCCCACAGGAAGTCAGCAAAGTGAGGAAGGG